TTCATTTTTACGATGTCTTTAACAAAGTCATAGATGTGCAAAAAAGTAAGCAGGGCCAAAATTGCCCTTTCGGATGCGCCAAAACTTTAAATAGAGAAGATATGATGATTTCCAAAATCACATGGATGACTAAAAGTATTCTTGTACTACAAGAAACAAAAATATATGCATAGAATGATATTTGTTGGATAATCAAACTAATGGGCAACTTATTCAATCTTTTCTACCTTATATGAAGGTTGGAATTAATCGTTCTATTGTTTGAACTTAGGCCGTGGACCCTTTACGGTCCACTACTAGAATCGCCTAGATGGATTTAGATTCTTGATATCTAATGAAGAGTTCTAAGCGCAGCAGTTAGGAAAGATTGTCATCAACTTTGAATATGATTCATGACATTGGCTATCTTCTCTTGTATTTCTAAACTCGATCGAGAGTAGGGTCATCAACTGATTAAATTTGAATCAAATCAAATTAATATAAATTCGATTATCTATTTATAAATTTAAATACAATTCAAAATTTTATAAAATTTATATTTGTTAATATATTCTAGTATTGATAATTCAAAATTTAATAAAAAAATCTAATTAATTAAAAATAATACTTTTTTATGTTTAAGTACTTCAACTATATTCCTTCAATCATTTTAATTCCTAATTCTCTAATTTAGTTATTTATAAATTTTGAATTTAATATTATATATATATTTTTATTTCAATAAAAAATATTATTAAAATTTAAATTTAATTTTTTAATAAATCATATTACTTAATTATATACTGAGCTACTTATTTCAGATTATGAATACTTATAATCAAATTTAATTTATCATATATTTTAATCAAATTCAAATTCTAAAATATAGATCGAATTCATATTTAAATCTAACTAATTTATAACCTCAATCAAAATTACCCATTTATTTAAAAGCTCCACTTAATCACTAATTGACTCCAGTTAAACCAATTTGTCTCTTGTAATTCTGGAAAGCAGACCTTAAAATGTAATTTGAACATTTAGAAAACAAGAAATTCTGATGGGGGTTTAATAAGCCCACATTTCTTAACTTGAACGGAATTTGGAATAGGTGAATCCCACCCAATTCAAATGATTCCTATTTCAAATGAATCAAGTAAAATTCTTCTAAATTTTAACTTGCGCACATGCTTGATTATCACGAACAATTTTTTTTTTTTTTTTTGTCATTTAAAATTTCTAATGTCTAAAGGTCTCAATATTTTCCACCATAATCTAGAAGAGGTTAGCAACTATAATATAACTTGTTATATACTAGTTGTACTATTGGCCAACCCTAGGGTCATGCTATCTCATACGTACAATTTTGCCCTTCGACCATTTAAGCCAATCAATCTTGAACTATCCCCCACGAACTGTCGTAGACCCTCACTTGACAGAAGTCAACATATTATTACTCCGGTATAAACAGTCTCATTAAATGACGTGTTGGTAGGTGACGTGGCCAATGCTATAAAATTAAATGACATGCTGGCACCTGCCGTGGCCAGTGTTCTAAAAATCAGTATTGGACTGGTCATATTATCGTTCCAATTACTGTCAAAAACCAATAAAATTAAAAAAACCGTATTATTTCTTGAAACTCATTTGAACCAACAATCCACCCATTTAGACTAGAGAATCATTCATGATTCAGTGAAACTAGAATAGTTCAAAAAATAGAGCAAACTCCAGCCACTCCACTCTAGTCAAAGCTTCGAGCTTGCAAAAATCAGGAATGCAGTGGGAAGCGAAGTAGAAGCTGAGTGCAGAAGCCGACACCAACAATTCACGAAGAAGACGAAGATGAAGGCTTTCGCGGCCCCTTGTTTTAGACGATGATGGAGACAGGAAAACGTATAAAAGGGCCCCTATTTCGCGAAAATGGTGTACAGAGAAAAACGTAGAATGGCAGAAGCTTTCCAATCGGTGATCGTTTTTCATGGTCATGGACACAGTGCTTAAGCGATTCTCTTCTCAAATCACCAAGCCCAAGCCGCAGAAAAGTATGGACAATCGTTTAGGTGATTCTCTTCTCGAATCGTGGCCCCTATTTCACGGAAGATGTTCACCCTTGTTATTTTAGTCAACAAAGAAGAAGAAGTGCAAAAGAAGTGCTTGTAGAGGAAGCAACTTATCAGCTAAGCATGAGGATGAAGATGAACAATGTCTATATGAGTTTTTACAGCTTTGCATTTTGATTCCTAGAATTTTATCCTTCAGTTTAAAGCAATTCTTCAATATTGTTCTACTTTTATTTTAGACTCTCAATTGGCACTTCTAACCTTGAAGGGTATGTTGAGTAATATTAAGCAATGTTATTGTCGGGTATGTTGAGTAATATTAAGCAATGTATTGTAGGTAATTAATAATTTTGAGTATTTTATTTTATTTTTTTGTATGTGTATATATATAACATTACAGTCTAATTGCGATTTAATTACGAGTCTACCAATAAATTGTAAATTGATATTTTTCCCGTTTAAGGAAAAGTCCAATTTTAAAAACATTAGATATGGTAGACAAGATTTTAATATTCTTTCTTAAAAAATATGAGAAATAATTCTTTAATACAAAAAAGTTATAACACCAAAACAACTGATAACGTTGTGTAATTATTTACATATCTATTGTAATTAAGAATAATTTCACCCCTTAACTTAAAACTAGAAAAAAACATTACAATGTGAGGATTATAAATTATTTTGTATCAAGGATTTCTTTTCCCTTTTTGAAAAATCAAGAAGTCAAAGGATACTTGCATGACTTTCACGAGCCAAATCACTTGCTAAGAAGCCCATTTTAAAAGATTTAAGTGGTTTAAATGTCAAAATTATGGGTTTAAAAGAGCTTTATACCTTAGAAAAAAAATGTCCAAAATATTCACCCTTTTTAACCATAAAAAACACAATAAAAAATTCAGCGACTACTTATTAATTCAAAAAAAAAAGAGCGAGGAGTCCATAAAATCTGTTAAAACATTTTCAAACAAATTTGCAGCAAAGTCAGATTCAAATATTTGAACTTTGAAACCCTTTGAAGACAAGCTAAAACTCGGAAAAAGCTCTTCGAGCAAAAGCAAAGTCAGGTTCAAATATTTGAACTTCTCAAACCCTTTGAAGATAAACTAATTAAAACTCAAAAAAACTCTTCGAGCAGACATTCCCTCGGAAGAAAACATGCTATCACAAATTTTTATCTAGAGTTCACCTCCTAAATACTAAGTCATAAAAGAAACATTTAACTTAAAGTAAGCTTGCGAATAATCAATGAGCGCCGTACTGGGGTTGAAGGGTGATGATGGGGAAGGGAGCGTGGGCGTAGGAGGGTGAAAGGCGGAAGGAAAAGCGTTGAAGAATCATAGCCATGGCCATCTTTGCTTCAAACATTGCAAAGTTCTGTCCAATGCAATTCCTTGGCCCCCAGCTGAATGGAAGATATGAAACCTGCTGCTGCTTCTTTGTAGCCTTTGAGACACCGCCTCTAAACCTCTCTGGGTTGAACTCCTCTGCATCCTCTCCCATACTTCTTGCTCTCGATGAAGTAGAATTACCGGCATGATGACTTGCACTCCGGCCGGTAGCCACATTCCTCCCAATTTTGTTCTTTGTCGATGCTTCGAGTGATTTGAACTACGGGTGGGTATAATCTCAAAACTTCATGCAATATCATATTCACCTAAACAACACAAAACATGTTTTAGTTGAATTGTTCGTGTGATATTTATCAAAATCAATCAGGGTCTCCCGATTTCAAATATTGTAAACTTTTCCCATTCAATTCTTTCTTGAAATTGATGCTCCATATTGCACTACAAGCAAAGTGTTTATTTTCTATGGATTTTTTCAACAGATAATTCCTGCAAAATTTCTTGCAGATCATGTAAAATATGCTGTTGGCGCAAAATTTTTCTGCGAATCAAAAATTCACAGAAAAATCCACGAAAAACTTGCTGTGATGAATATATCCTCAAGAATTTTCATAGGAAATTTTCCCCCAACTAGAGGGAATTTTTTTTTTTTAACATTTGCATAAAACTACCTGCAAATTTTTTTAGGGATTTTGTATACCATGAAATTCTGCGTAAAAATTCCAAGTAATATATCCTAGAGAATTTTTCTGCAAATTTATGTGTAAATATGTTTATTAAGAAATTGACTACCTAGAGATCTATCTACAGATTTTTTCATAAGAATTTTACATGATAGACTTCATATGATTCCTTTATTAAGTAGATTTAAACCATTCAACAAAACATGTAAGGTGCAAATCATGCCTATCTCCCCATGAAATGGCAACTACAACCCACCCCCGCCCCCCCGCCACAAAAAAAAAAAAAAAAAAAAAAGTTTCTAACGTGTGGTGCCAATGAAATAATAAATTATGCGGGTATGGCATTGTTGTCTATGAATAGGGAAGTCTGAATTTTTAGGGGTAAAATTGGTATTCTTTTTTTTTTTTTTTAATCTAGATGGGTATATAAGCAAGAAGAATTACTTACAACTTTCAAGTGATTCAACCCATCAAAGTCTGGTGTGTTTACTACCAATACTTGCAGCACCTCTTCTCTTGCGCTTTGTTGCCAGTCTTGGTGCATGCTCAACAATATCATTGTCCAAACAAGCAGAACAGAGGTGGTCTCTTGCCCAGCAAAGTAGAAAAGCTTGCACTTTTCAATCACCTCTTTAATACTCATTCCAACACCATCTTTCTCCTTATTATTATTTATCTCTCTAAATTTGATTCCAATAATATACCCAATAAATCATCACTACTGCAATCTTCTCCTCCCTTCATTGCCTTCACTCTTTTATTGATGATTTCTTTCAAAGAAGCTTCTACTTCTCTAGCAATTTCCTCTCATTCTCCAGTTTCTCGTAGTTGGCAAATACCCGTGCAAGAAATAGAAACAATCTGTAAATAGTCTTTTCCTTTTCTTCCAGATAGAAAATAGGGCTTGGATTAGTTGATTTTTATTTAATTTACCTCGATCCCGGGATGTAAACAGAGTTTAGAGCTTGCACTGCAAGCTCGGCTTGTTCTTTCTGGAGTTGGAAGATCCTCATTCCTTCTCTGTAGTTGCTTCCAAATGCAGTGCGAGAGATGGCATCACTGGTGAGGGCAGAAAGATGAGGCCACACATCCAACTCACATGATCCTTCGTCTGATAAGGCAACCATCTTCTCCCATTTGCTCACTATATCCTTACAACTTGTATGAAATGCAGGTAACATATGCTTCACACACGCATGCACCAACCCCCATCAGAAGGCATGAAAGGCATATGTAAATAATTAACTTACTGAGTTTTTTACTGTTAATTACTTAAGGCAAATACCCTTCATTTGCTAAGATTGAATCTTGAATTTTTTTTTCATCAAAACAAACTGTTAGGTAGTTTTAGACTTTCTCAATCGAAAAAACTAATTCATGAGGTGAAATTTTATTGACCACCAACCCTTTCCACAATTAACATGGATATCCAATAATTTTTCCCTTCACATATGCGATGAAAGATAATGCAGAAATAACATCAAGTGAGAGTGAACCCAGATACAAGAAAATATTGAAGTTTGAGCTGTGATACTAATATTAAGAGGTCTTAGACTCTCTCAACCTTAAAAGTTAATTGATAGGATGAGTTTTTTCGCTCATGCATATACATTCACTGCTAATCCTTTCCACATGTGGAATACCGAACACAAACAACTCCCTAGTAATAATTTACCAAGTCCAAACTACTTATTTAAAATGCCTAAACTCACTTTTTAATAATAGTTCTCAAAGTTTTTATATGTGGCGTGATATCAGACTTAAATTTTAAGTTTGAATGAAATATTATATTGTGCATATAGAAAGAATAAAGCTATTGGAATGAAAAAATTCAAGTTGTGGGATTTTATTGTATATATGAAAAAAATTCAAGTTGTGGGATTTTTGTTTGGCAAAAAATTAAAATATTTATAATTCTTTTTATGAATAAGAGATAACTAACTTTTAATATTTTAACAGATGAAATCAAAACATCTTCTTAGAAGAGAGAGATATCATTTGAAATTTACCTAAACTTGTATTGGATTCCTACTATACCAAATATAAATATAGAAAGATAATATATATATATATATATA